GATTGGCTTGAAAGGCCGATTTGTTAGGACTTATATGGGGTGAGCCTCGAAATAGTGTCGAAGTTTCCTCGCCAAAACTACTAACGCCAGGACCAATTTCTCCATTGGAAAGTACCTTGTCTCGACGTCGAGCAAAGTCTTGCTCATGAAATATACGGGTTTTTGTACTCCTTTACTTTCTCTAACCAGCGCTCCACTCACAGTTCCTTCAGATAATGACAAGTAAAGCTTAAGCACCTCCCCAGCCGTCGGGACGGATAGGGTTGGAGGATATCTCAAGTACTCCTTGATTTCTTCGAGAGCTCGACAACACTCCTCATCCCACACTCCTTTAGCTACCCCCTTCAACTTGGTAAAAAATGGTTTGCACTTATCGGAAGACTTGAAAATAAATCGGTTGAGGACTGCCAACATCCCGGTCAATTTCTAGATATCCTTGGTAGTTCTAGGTGCCTGGACGTTCTGTATTGCTCGTATCTGCTCGGGGTTTGCCTCGATACCCCTGTGAGTGACTAAATACTCCAAGAATTTCCTTGAGCTTACCCCGAAAGTGCATTTCGAGGCATTCAGTTTCAGTCCACACTTCCGGAGGATGGTGAATGTCGTCCCGAGATCGTGAAGATGGTTGGCGCTCTCTTTGCTCTTAACCAGCATATCATCAATATATACCTCCATGGTTTCGCCGAGCTGCTGTTTGAAAATTTTGTTTATTAAATGTTCGTAAGTCGCCCCCGCATTCTTCAACCCAAAGGGCATCACCGTGTAGCACTAGATCCCACATGGTTAATGAACGTTTTTTCTCCTGATCTGACTTATGTAAGGGAATCTGGTGATACCCAACCCAAGCATCCATAAAGGTGATTTGTTTGTGGCCGACAGTTGCATCCACCAGCTGATCAACCTTGGGCAATGGGTGCTCGTCTTTGGGGCAGGCCTTGTTCAAGTCCGTGAAGTCCACACATACTCGCCATTTCCCCTCTTTCTTCTTGGCGCATATCGTGTTGGACAACCACTGAGAAAACTACACTTCCTTGATAGAACTAGCCCCCAACAACTTGTCAACCTCTTCATCCACAGCCTTGGCGTGGTGAGGTGCCGTTCTCTGAGCCTTATGGCTAATGGGTTTGAATGAGGGGTCGACATAAAGCCGATGGGTCATCACCTCAGCGCTTATCCCCGTCATCTCGGCCTGGGTCCATGCAAAGACGTCAGAATTCTGGCATAGAAATGAAGCCATATCAATCTTCTTGGCATCGTTGAGTGATTCCCCTATCAAAAAGTATCTCTCATTGCTATCGGGGCTCAGGAGAACTTTGACCAAAGCTTCAGTAGACCGGTTGGCTGGCTCTATAATGGACTCATCCACTCCCGATCGACCGTTCTGTGATTGCTATTTAGCAACCATAGCTTCTGGATCACGCTCCTGACTTTGGCTGCTAACTCCAGTCGTTACTGCAGCATAGAAACAGCTCTTCGTCGACGCCTGATCACCCCGGACTTCCATTAAGCCTTGCGGTGTAGGGAACTTGATCTTCTGGTGATAAGACGAGTGGACCGCCTTCATCGCATGCAACCATGCCCTTCTCATGATAGCATTGTATGGGGAGTCAGAGTCTATCACCACAAACTCTACTGGGATGGTCACAATCCCTGCACGCACCATAAGGGTGATCTTTCCTAGGGGGAGGGCATTGGAACCATTGAAACCGATGAGGGGGGTCTTTACAGGTTTCAGATCTCCTTGTGAGAACCCCATTTTGCAGAAGAGATGATCATACATCACCTCAGAAGAACTGTCCGAGTCTACCAAGATTTTTTTGACATCAAATTTTTTGACCCGCAAGGTGATCACCAACGCATCTTCATAGGGAAGGACTACCCTGTCGAGGTCGGCATCAGAAAATTGAATAACCTCGGCACTACCTCGCAGCTTCTTGGGGGGTCGCTCTTTACCCCTGTCTTCCACCCTGACCGCTTGAGAGACCCTTTGTAGCTCGGCACGGAGGGAGTTATATGTTGGCCTTTCTACAGTGCAGGCATATATGACATCAATCACGGGTGCCACCTCGACAGACACTTCGGCTCCTTCCCTCGTCGATTCTGCGGGAGTGCCCCTATCGATGAATTTTCCGAGATGTCCGTCTCGTACCAATTGTTCAAGGATTTGTACACCTTGCAATCCTCTATCAAATGACCTACATCCTTGTGATATGAACAACGGAAAGCCGCATTCCTTGTTGTTGGATCTCCTAGCAACCTTGGGGGCCACTTGAAGTATAGTCTATTTTCTATCTTGGAAATCATCTTGTAAATGAGTTCTTTGAAGACCGTGTTCACCCCCTGAAAGGACAGGCGATTTAGGGGTGGAACAGGTCCTCCCTTCCGGGGTGGTTGCTCATTTTCTCTTTTTCTCGACGCCGAGACTCTGTTCTTAGGCGTGCTGGATTCTTCTTCCACTCGGGCATATTTATTGATCGGAGCCATCAAGTCTTTCATGTCCGCTGGAGTCTTCTTGGTCAGAGACTTCTATAAATCAGTGTCTCGGGACAACCCCAGCCTAAATGATGCCGCGACCAGTGCCTCTGAACATGCCTCCACCTCATTAACCTCCTCCAAGTATCGAGTGACGTATTGTCAAAGGGACTCTCCTCCCTTTCGTCTAAGTGTCAATAGAGCACCGATGTCCTTCGATTTCTTGCTGCTGGTGATGAATCTAGCTATGAAGAGCTCCATCAATTGTCTCCAGGACCTGACGCTTTTAGGGCTAGGTTCTCGTACCATCGCATGCTTGTGTCCCCCAGGCTTATGGGGAAAACTCGGCACAACACCCGTTGATCGGTATCGTAGATGGACATCAACTGTTTGTATTACTGTAAGTGACTCTCAGGATCGGTCCTTCCATCATAGACTTTGAACCGTGGGACTGTAAACTTCTTTGACATTTCGGCCTCCTTGATAGCCCGAATGAATGGTGAAATAACTTTGTCGGAATCAACCTCAGGGTTAGGACTGCGATAAGTAGTGGGGCACACCAGGGGATCCCTCGGGGTATTTTTTCTCGAGGCCCCCTGGGTGTGGACTCTGCTTGTGACTCGGCGGCTCCAATGTCATCGGGTATCCCTCGGCAGAGGTCCCACCGAGATAGGCTTGCTTTTTTGGCCCGATTCCGCTATCCCCTTGGGGTTCGAGCACCCACTTTGACTGTAGCACCCCTCGCGTGAGTGCCTAAGCCAGCCTTTCTTGGAGGTCCTTTGCCAGGGATGCCTGGAGAGGTTTTGACTGAGGCCCTGGTCCTCGCGCCCGCGACTTCTCCCACTCGCGCTTGCTGATTGCTCAAAATCTTCGAGCCATCGCCAGACCTTGGTGTTTTCTCTTTCAAGTTGCTTAATGCGTTTGCCCATCCATTTCTCTACCATCTCGACGATATCACGAGCCAAGAGGTCATGATCCCTAGGGCCTTGATCTATAGGGAGCGTTCGTTGTGAGGAATGCTCCCCCCCTGATTGGGTCAAGGGACCCAGTTCTAAGACCATTGGAAGTCGGACAGCCTCTGCGTTCCTTATATGCACACTTGCTCCTTCACCCTGAGATCAAGTGTTCACCATTAGACAATCGCTATGGGAAAAGATGCTCGATTTTCCACAGACGGCGCCAAATTGCACGAGATAATTCCTGCAATAGTTTGAGATAGTGACTTCCAACCTGGTGAACCTGAAACAACCATAGGGTCAGAAAAGGGGGCCAGGTGAACACCCGGCTTATCTCATCCAAAGCTTAAGTTAGTATTAAGATTCGAGGTTCCAACTTAATGAATCATCTTTTTTTGGTTTAATCTTGCGTATCTCTGTTCATTTTTCTCAGGAGTATTTATACCTGAATTAGCAATGATTGTCAAAGACATCTAGTCCCATCTGGACATTTAATGTTTGACATGCCACTCCTCGCGCAATGAGTGTTCTCCATTCAAGTCTTCTCCTACTCAATGCTAGGATGATGGGACGAGCGTTCGGCTCCATGCTGAGCATTTATGCCTTTGCTCGAGTATCCCCATCCCTCAAATCGGCATCTGACACCCGCAGGTGAGCATTGAATATTCGGAGGAATAGTTCCTTGGGGAGAATCGATCATATACACTCGACGTAGTAGCTATCAATGCCTAGCCATCATGATAGTAGGCCTAGACTCAAAGTGCAGGCGCCTGTAGGCACGCATTTAATAACCTTGTCACCATTACTTATTCTGCCATAAATGAGAGGTCACATCGTATTAAATGTGGTGTCAGTTGTCATGCTCAGCTTCTTCGGGACACCATACCTCGGCTTACCTTTTCGGCATCTTTTGGACATCACAACGGCTTCATCATTTCACGTGTCAGTCCGGGGATTGTAGAGCCACCTAGAGTCCCGCCAGTTTCCTATATATAATCATCACTAGCGAAAACTTCATTTGCTTGGAGGATTCCATGAATTTCCTCCAAAGTCATTCTTTGTTGAATCTCCTCCAAAGTCATTCTTTGTTGAATCTCCTCCCTCTTATGATGTAAATCATCAATTAAAGCTTGAGATATATCATTAGACCTGGGTGCAAATGAAGCAGTAGTGGCCCTTAAACTACTGTAAATTTGTGTCAAGAGACTCAAAAGATCTTCTACTCCCCAATTCCTCTCTCCCAGATTCGTAACCATCACTCATTACATTTAAATCATATTCAGACTCTAAAAATAGAACCCCTTCCAAAGACTCGGTCTCATTCGTCTCATTTGTTTGAATCCCCATGATATTTTCTACAGAATTAAGCTTTAGATCTTCACTTGGTGCTTGGACTTCTTCTGATGCTACCTTCGGTAAGTCAATAGCGTCCTTACATAACTCTGAAATTTAGCCCTCTTCCAACTACTCATCCTGAGAGGACTCCTTTCCACCAGCTTCACTCTCCAACGTGTGGGTAGCCTTCGAGCTTTGGTTATACACATCACTTACAGAAATCGAAGCAGTATCCCTCTAAGTACTTTGATCCAGAGTAATCTCAGGAACCTCCTTGTCTTCCTTAATCACTACTTGAATCTCAACAACCTTAGCTGCTGTGATAGAATCATCCTCCGTTCTACATAAATCATTCGATTTCTCCCCCAATTCCTTCTGTAAGATCTTCACCATGTTACCTTTATCCTCTGTTGTAGCTGTCCTTTTAAATTCCATACCTTGAACCTGAAGTTTTGGATTTTTATGTGGATTTCCATCCTTTGATTGTAGTTCATTCTGATCTAAACATTGCATCACCTTTCCCACTCCTCCATCTTCATTACTTGCTAAAGGCTTACGCCTTTTCCTACAATCTGTTTCGTCCTGCCCTTCCTTTGAACAAGTGGTGCAGTACTTACAATCCTTCTCATACTCAATTTTTTGTCATCGTCCTTTAAGCCCACCCATTTCCAACTAGATTCGACCGGGATTAGCCTTCAAAAGGTTGATCTGAACACATACCTGTGCGTGCAAGATCCTGCACAATATAAAAAATGAGAACAGATCTCTCCCTTGGTGAACTTCGAGTGAGCCGGTTGAGTGACCAACCACGCCGCTTGGAACAGCCTGCGAGGTCCGGTGGTAACCTGGAACGGCAACGGGAGACCCTGGGTGAGAGGGAGAACGGTCCAGTAAGGCTGAAAAAGAATCCTGGAACAAAGGAGAACAAGTTAGAAGGGCGCCGGAGTGTTTTCCGGCGTATCCCCTCCGACGGTCTAGTCAGTCTTTGAGTGAGAGAGAGGAAGGAGAAAACACTGAGAAAAATGTATTGTAGTAGAGAGTTTTTGATTGCATACCCGCTTTGCCTTTTGGGAGGAGTATTTATACCTTAAAAGCTCATGATTGCTGTCAGTGTGGTCAATAGGTGATCATTAGGCACAGGTAGCGTGTGTATTGATTTTGATGAGGAATGTCTTCTCTAATTGACTGCTCGGGGTCCCGAGCAATTAATGTCGAGTCGTCGGGATGCCGACGGTACAATATGCTCCTCTCGGGGAGGATGCAATAAATGCTCTGTAATATGAGCATTTATTGTCTTTCACTTCCGAGCCTTACCGCATTGAATGCAGTCTCATCAAGGGAATGGTGCAATTAATTGTTTACTTTCCCAAAGCGCGTGTCAGCAACAGTATGCGGTTGTCTGTCTTTGATGTGATATCATATGCCACGCGTCCATCACGTATTGGCTATGACCTCTGTATTCCAGTATGTTCTGACATTACTTGTGTAAGACGAGGTCACGATGAATAGTCTAGACTGGCATAGGCTGATGACCTGTACGTCAGTAGCTTTATCCTAGAGTAGATGAAGCGTCTAGGACGGAGTAACTCTCGGCACCGAGGAAAGGCTCGTCTCGGGGACCGAGGGAGGTATGCGACCGAGATACATAGATGACCGAGGACACGTGTTGGTTGTAAAATATACTGCCGAGGACACGTGTTGGTTGGTACCTCGGGGGCGAGGCATTCGTCGCCGATGGTGCTTGATCCAAGCAACAGTGTTTTAGCAAAACCGAGGACACGTGTCTTCATCATAGGGCGTTTCATAAAAGTCCCATCAACTGCCCCCCAGCCTTCGATCTTCTGACACCGAGGACACGCGTTGTAAGGAGACGAAGGGTTTCCCAACTACCACCCGTCCTTCATCATGGCCTCGAGCCGCTTTCCCCGGTTTGGGATGTCGTGCGCATTAAATGCGCCGTTTCGGTCTTCGCGCCCAATGATGAAAATTGCCCCTATATAAAGGCGGTTCCTCTCCGGTTTCCTTCGTTTTGCCATTTCAAACTTTCCTCAGAATCACGTCTTCTTGGATCTTCGCTGGAGTTCTCGTTTCTTCTGCCATCGTCGACTGCCCTTTCTCTCAAAATCACAGAACCAGCAGACCCATTGTTGATCCCTGAACTTTCTGGAGGGAGTCGTTTTAAAGTTTTTCCAGAAAAACTTCATTTTTGACGTTCGGGTGAGTTTCAGAACCTTCTTTCTTTTGGTCCTCCTAGCCTTTTTGTTTTCCGATTGAATGGTGGTGTCATCCGGTCGATACGTCGTGATTTAAACCTCGGGAAACTTCCTCGGGTTTTCAAGAACAAATACCCTTTTCTTCCTTTTCTTTTAGAGATGTCTCGCCGTCGCCCTGCTCCCGAGAATCCTCGGGCTGGTTCTTCGGGGTCAGGGAAATATAAGGTAAAAGGCGACGAGCAGATCGATAGGTTTAGGGCCAAGTATGACATTCCTCCGTTCGTAGTCGTAGAGGATCCCGACCCGGTGGTGCACTCTTCCACCCACGGGGCCGAGGATGCCATGCCTTTCTATACCAAGACCATAATAGAGGGTGGAATTAGGTTTCCTTTACCCCCCTGCTTCTTCAGTTCCTCTCTCATTTCCGCCTCTTCCCCGGGCAATGCTGCCTCAACGTCTTCCGAATAATCATGGGGGTTTTAGAGCTCAATGGGCGCCTCGGGGTAAATATCANCTCATTTCCGCCTCTTCCCCGGGCAATGCTGCCTTAATGTCTTCCAAATAATCATGGGGGTTTTAGAGCTCAATAGGCGCCTCGGGGTAAATATCGGGCTCAACGACCTCCTGTTTTGTTATTCCCTCCTTAGGGTCATGCCTCACCAACACTTCTACCTCAAAGTCAGGGACCCCTCCATATACCTTGTAACCCACCTTCCTGACTCGGACAAGGGGTATAAGGACGATATCCTCATCTTCAAGGGATCTTGGCAGAGAGGTGTCGGTCCCGAGTATAATCACTTGTTTTGCCCTCTGGAATGGAGAACGACAAGTACGTCGGTTCCTCTGGGTTTATTACTTCTTTCCCCAGATTTCCTAT